GGAGCTCAGCCCTTCTTGACGAGAAGCCAAATATGCAGCTACTCACGAATTTTTAAGCCCTTTATGGAACCCGAAAGTCCATTATCGTGTTCACAAGAGCCCTCCACATGTCCCTATCCTGAGCCAGATCAATCTAATCCATATCATCCCATCCTATCTAAGATCCATTTTAATATTGTCCACCCACGTACGTCTGGGTCTTCCCAGTGGTCTCTTTCCTTCTGGCTTTCCCACCAATATCCTATACGCATTCCTTGTCTCCCCCATTCGTGCTACATGGCCTGCCCACCTCATCCTCCTTGACTTGATCATTCTAATTATACTTGGAGAAGAGTACAAGTTATGAAGCTCCTCATTGTGCAGTTTTCTCCATCCTCCTGTCACTTCATCTCTCTTCTGTCTAAATATTCTCCTCAACACCTTGTTCTCAAACACCCTCAGTCTAACTTCCTCCCTTAATGTTAGGTGGGTCCCTGTCACCACGGCATGGCGCGTCCTCAGGTTGCGGATGGAGAACACGCCCTCAAGTTTGGGAGGGAACCTGGGAATATATTGAATAAGCAGTCGCGTACAGCCGACAAGGGGTGGTCCTCCAGCTTGGGTTTTGGGCGTGGGGCTAACAACTCGTCGCGTAAAAATATAATCATGTTACGAAAATAAACACAAAGCCTCGGACCTGGACAAACGACCTCGGCTAAAGAAAATGGATATGAGATTCGGTACCTGGAACGTCAGAAGTATGTATAAGGCAGCGCCATAGCTCAAGCGGTTAGTCGCTGGCTTCCCACCGCGGCGGCCCGGGTTCGATCCCTGGTCTGGTCAAGTGGGATTTGTGATGGACAAAGCGGCGCTGGGGCAGGTTTTCACCGAGTACTTCGGTTTCCCCTGCCAATCTTCATTCCACCAATTTCTCCACAATCACCCTCATCTATCATCTTGGGCTGGTACAATAGGCCAGACGTGGCCGCAGTACAAGGGACTAAGTCCCACCCCACTAGCATTAAAATAATGTATAGGGCAGGTTCGCTAAGGGCAGTGGCAGAAGAATATATATAATAGCTTCATGTTCTTATAATTAATACGGGACTTTATTAGGTAAATTTTCTTTTATTAGTGATGGCATAGTGGATGAAGTGAGGACTCAAGTAAAGGCGGCTCAGTCGGTAACTCTTCTGATTTTTATTTGGGAGGTGCTCAGTTCGAATTGGGGCCGGAACATTGCCTGTCCTAAATGAATTTTTTCTTTGATTTCCTCAGTCCCTCCATGCAAATGCCGGTTTGGCAAATGTAATATTTTTCAGATCACGAACCGGTATCATTCAGTCATTTGACTCTAAAATTTCGGAGTTACTCGTGGCTTCATTTAATAAAAAAAAAATAAAATAAAATAAAACTAAAGTAGCAACAATAGGAAGGACACATATATAGACACACAGACTGATGGGAGGGATTAATGAAGTACGCCGTTGAAATGAGCTCAGGTGCCATGATACATACCATGTTTCATAAAGACTGGTTCAGTCATTCAGTAGTTGATGGGAGTAAACACACAGGGCATGGAGATCGCATATGCCTACTTTCATTTTTTTTTTTTCAAAATAAGAAAGTAGGCTAAAAAGCAAGGGTGTCGAGGATGGTCTAACGAACGAACCGCCACTGCACACTGACATAGGAACAGATCAAGTGACAGCGAACTCAGCAGAGCAAGCGAAAGACGAGCCAAACTGCAGCTGTACAGCTCTCCTTCCACCCTCTCCCGCTGTCGCCTTAGCCAGCACTGCAGCAAGCCTGGTGTGAGCTTATCAGTAGTCTGTCCGTATTTTAAGCTCAAATAACATGGAGCAACACCGTGAGAACGTCAAATCCTGCAAGTCAGAATAGTCTCAAAAGTCGGAACGTGAGAAACAGGTTAAGGAAATCTCCAGATCATGAAACAATTATGTCACGTTTAATTACCAACGTGTTTAACTGTGTCTGATGGAGTGGCCTAAACAAATGAACTTGAAGTAGCTTACGATAATTCTTTCTTGTTTCTTTATTTTCTCCGCCATTCATTCTTCATCATCTTAACATTTCACATTCGACGTCATTAATATATAGAATTCAGTTCATATCATGTATGCGGTAGGTATCTGCTTCGAGTCCCCGGCAGACTTTGTCCATCCTCCTTGATGGGTCACGTGCTTGTTATCATATAACATGAATAAAATTTCAACCCTCTCCTGCAAATTAAATGCACCTTGACGAGTTTGCACTGCCAGTTTCACAGAGGGTTTAGCCATTCATTTTTTGTTGGTTGTCCGGAAGTATTTTAAAATAATAAAATGTAAGATTATCCCTTTAACAGGTCGTGGAGGCCTATAGGGTTGTGAGGGGTCGAGGCTCCCACATCTTCTAGACAATCTGCTCACAGATGGCGGTAAGGTTGTCAGCCTTAAGCGCCGGCCGCCTTTTACCCCCCAGGAAGATTCCTGGTACTCATTTCTGTTAGAGGCAGAGTCGACCCCAGGGCCACTTTTCTTTTCAACAAAATGTAAAACTTCTATGTGGCTTGCAATGACACAAAAAAATTATGGTTACATAACATTCCTGCATAATAATACTTGACACCTCCCCCCCACACACAGACATGTTTGCTGGTACTCACAGGTTCAGTTTTTGCCTCAAGATTGAAAAATACAGTGCAATGATAAATGTGTGAGACTTTTGACAAGCTTGTCAATACAGATCAAGTATTTGCTGGTATAGGTACGGGCCTAAAGAAAAGGTACTAATAATACCCATACACTAAGTAAATTTTGTTCAAAGATATCTCCATATCAGAACACTGTAAAAATATATAAAAATAAAAATTTCAGCTCCTTAAAAATGGGAAATTAATTTCCATTCCCTTATGAATGCAAGCCATGCAATACTGCACTACTTACGAAAACTTCATTGAAGAACTTTATGCTTATTTTCCATTTCCAAACTCCTGTCCAATCAAAATTTCCAGTCAATAATTATATAATTCTGTCCTCTACTTTTCAACTACTACAGGCAAAACACCAAGATATCCATAGCCACATTTGTAGTTTCCACTGTTTCACAAACTCTGATGTCAGTACAGCTTTCATAAAATGCAATTATCTAGATTAGATTATTAGCGGGGACCAAATACTGGTCCTAGAAGAACGGGAAACAAAATGGAACAAGAATATTCTAGCACAATAACAAACGTCAAGGACAATCAGCTCATAAAATGAAAATGCTGATCTTCCCCAGAACTTGAGTTATGTATCAGCTCCATCATCACAAAAACTGTGTTAACATTCTGCTCAACAATTAAGAAAATATGGCTACAAACCACTTAAAAGACTATGCAAGCCATGGAGAATTGATGGGAGTCAATACAAACTTTCATACTGCAAAATTATTTGCAAAGAAAGTAACTGAAACAGTGAAGCTTCATTACTTACAGTTCACTATGACGAAGCTCATACTTACCAATACAGAAAGTGTTTAACATACAATTTGTATCTACTTTTAAACTCTCCTACAATGCCAAATTTCATGAGCCAAATACAAACTAATCTATACTGAAGTGCTGTTTCGTAAGTACCTGTAAGAATATTAATCTTTTCTTCTAACAACAAATTGTCAGAGAAGGTTGTGGCAGAAGGGACAAAGGTTAAAACAAATATAAGTATAGGAAGGAACAGTGAAGGAGATCAGGACAGTAAGTTGGTCACCATGATGATATGCTATACTGAAATATAATATATCAAACACGCAGTCTGCTAGACAAGACAATAAAATGTTCCACACTATACTGTGACATTTCAATTTTTATAACACGTTATTGTGCTGTGCACCCAGGACTGAAGGAAATGTGGCAGCTGCTCACTCTTCTAACCTAACTAAAGTGCCTTCCCTTCACTAACTACAATACACATATAATAGCACATTCGGATGTAAGTTGGACATTGAATATAAAAAGCAAGAGACAGATGCATAATAAGGTAAAGCTATCCCTATAACAGGCCATGAATGCCCATAGGGTTGTGAGACGTTGAGGCTCCCACAACTTCTATGCAACTGGCTCACAGATGGAAGTGAATTTTTCAGCCTTACACAGGAGACAGATACATAGCAATCATAACACAAAATCTGGAGGACACACAGCTTTCAACTGCCACCACCCTGTGGCTTCCAGTAAATGTTGATCTTGTGTGGAAGCCATACACTTTTCCAGTGTGCGCACAAACTAAAGCCAAGTACCATGATGTCCAAAGCTGGATACAAGAGGCAGACTGCAAATACTTGAAATCTGCACGTGGTAAGATAATTTACTATATTATATTATACTAACGTACATAAAACTGTAGCAAACTGTACTATAATGTACCACATTGCTTTGTACTAAAATACAGAATGTCCCAGGAGTTTGGTGCCATACTTCAGAAGCGTACTGAAGGTTTCCTATAGAATAACTTTGAAATAGGAACCCATGTCCACAAAAGTAAAATGGCAGCACTAGGGCGGCATTTAAAATCATTTCGTTTAAAGTTGGCGCCTCAATGTCAAACTGCATTGCATAGAGGAACAGCCATTGCCAAGATTGTGGGGACATCAAAATCACGTGTTTGGATGATCCTGCACAACCAACAACTTTATCCGTATCATCCAACGCGAGTACATGACATGGGTCCAACTGACTTCATACTACAAGTTTTTAATTGAGCACTGAACAGTCTGAACTTTCTGCATCTCACACTTACATAGATATTGCATGCAAACTGGACAGTACAAAACGGGAGACCTTGTCCACCTACTTCTCATTGGAGGTTCATGTTCTGATTTACGGGTACTTTAAAAGCTGATGGAATCACAAGAAGTTTGAATATATTTTCAATATCAGACTGACTTCCATTTAACCCAGATGTTAAAGTATTATTTATATGTAGTAGCTAAATGTGGAAGATAATTTATTCTTCAGATTCTCTTCTGGTCACAGATCTCAGGAACAATTGAGGATCCCACAGTGTACAAAGAAATCAAAGCAGTCCTCCAGAAACTAGGCTATGCTAAAACAGCAACAGATCCGCAGCGATGTTGGGTTGGGTGCTGGAACTAAAACTTGCTACACATGCAAACTTCCATTTAGCCTGCTGGAACAGTCAATATTAAAGTGGCTACCTGAATGAAGTATTAATCAAGTACTTTCCATCAGGGGCTTCTTGTAGTTCAGCTGCGTGAAGTAAAATGAAAGGAAGGGAGATGTTTTTCTTCATTGCCCAAGTTGAAAACGTGTAATATTTACAACACTGTCACTACTACAGTGAAGAGATCCACAACAGAAAATGTGCACTCAGGGTACACTTCTTGCTATCTGTACATTAGTTTAATCTCTGTTTATTGTAATCTATATATTACAATTGTATGTCTGTTGTTAAAATAAATATATGAGCTATGTAAACATCTCTTGGTTAATGGAATGCGTTTTTGATTTCTAATTTTGGTTGTGTTGCCTTGTCTGCATATTTTTCATTCTCCTTTTCAATTCACTGTACTTCTCCATACAACACATTCCCACTGCAGGAAAGATTATCAGAAGAAATAAAGGAGTCTGGAGAAATAACTGTGATGTGAGAAGAATGGTATCTGACACTTCACTACCACTACCATCCACCGATGTTTCCACCAGGGTGAGTCATCTTACAGCAATCCTTTTCTATTCTTCTCTGTTTTCCCAAAAGTGCTCCTTCTCTTATCTGATTTCCCAGATCTGTTTTCCATTTTCCCTCAGTTAATCTCTCCACCTGTATATTCACTGAAACATCTACTAAACCATATAAGAAAAAAGTTTATACCTTGTCAACAAAATTGAATTTGTAGTAAGATCCACAGTTGTCTCAAAAATGTGTTCTTAATAACCTTATCTAAACTGCACACAGAATTAAATGTACATCAGAAAATAAAAGACAAAATGTGTATTTGTACGAACATGTATTACACAAAGTAACGAGCTTAAGTGAACTTATAACATCAGACACAGAGTGCCCAGAATTATCTTCACATGAAACATAAAACACATGTCACAGAGAAGGGGGGAAGGCGGGGGGGATGTATATATTCATATGTGTATTTTGAGCAACAAATCACACTAACTGAAATCTAATACAGGATGATTATAAATCAGTGTGATTCAGGTTTCATATAAATCACATTCTGTAGTAACTTAAAAAATTAAACTTTTAATAATCAAACTTTATTTTTTGCAACATGGGGAACAAAGCTGTTGACGGTGAGTTTCCAGAAATACTGAATGCACAAATTAAAAAAGAACAGTGACATATGCTTTTCTCTTGAGAGACAGCCGTCTGAATGAACACACACTAATTTCATTATCATAAAAATACATTACCAGCTCATCCATGCAACAGGTCTCCATGAGAGCTCACAACATCACTTAACTTTCTGCTTCTTTGTGGATTTCTTTTCAATGGGTGGTGACACTGATACTTCTGATATTTCCATTTCCTCTTGTAGATTTTGTCACTTTCCTTCCGCTTCACTGAGCTCAGTGAGGGAACACTAAACCCTGGGATCTACAAATCAAAATAGTATACAGTCACTTGTTATGATAGCAGAAAATGCACATTTTGATAAGTTTTTGTTCTAAGCAAAAACATGTAGAAATGCATGATCAGAATTGAACTCTTAAGAGGCCAAGAAAATGTCTGATAGGTGTTGAAACTTTTAGCAAATTTATCTTATATCAATTTTCATCCTTCTGTTGCTGTAGAAGAATGACATAGTTCTGCCATCTGCTGAATTAAAATTCAGGTACCAGCAATTCACATATTTCCAAAACATACAAAACTGGCAAGTAAAGAAAAAAAAAACAATGAAATTGCATTTACCTGAGGGTGAACTAATTTCAGGACTATTTTCTCATGTTGCACGTTACTTCTATCTAAACTGAGCTGTACAGTAACTGGATCAAACGGCAGAAAAATTACATCACCACACTTCTGGGTTTGTTTCTTAAAAAAGAACACACAAATTATACATCAACAAATGCTTCTGTTTTCTTTAAACATCTCTCCATGATCAGATTTTCGAGAGAAGAGAAAAGAACAAAAAGTTAGAAATAATAACTGAGATAAACCACTGTTAGTGTCAGTTACCTTTCCTGGAATTGCGATGAAGATCTAATCCATAAATGATAAATTTAGTACTGAACTGGATTCATCTGGCTCTGAATAGGGTCAAATGGTGGGCTGTCATGAACATGGTAATAAATGTTCGGGTTCTGTACAAGACAGCAAATATCTTGACTGGCTGAATGACTGTTAGCTTGTCACGGACCCCACTCCATGTAGTTAGTTCCAGCAAGCTCTGGCTGCTAAATTCATGAGGAAGGAGCCCATAGTATGCACTGTACATGAAACTGAGGGAGGGGGGTGCAGAGCTGGTCTGGATATGATGGTAAAGAGAAAAAATTCTGCTCCTACTGTGAATCAAACCCAGGTGACCAGCCTGTAGCCAGTAAGGACACTGAATTAGCTTTCCTGGCACAATGGGCTACAAATGGATGTGATACAATAACTCTTCAGTGTAAACAAATGTAACATTCTGTTTCTTTCCTTTGTGTGGGCTCACATACAGTGTTCCTTCCAAGCCAACTGTATGAAAGAAACTTTTCTGTTCTCTCACACTGGGCTGCAGTGCAGTTATATTTCTTCTATATGATAATAGTGAAAGCATTTCATAGTCTATAATCATTTCAAATAGTTTCCAGCTTTGCTATAACAACAACAATGCCTTTTCATAGAACAGTGATCACCAACTGGTTGTATGCCAGCATGTACCCTGGTGCTCTAAGAAGGGTTCTGGGTACCTGCGAGAATTTTCACTATTTATGGCCATTCATAACAGTATGCTGACAACTGCGAAGCATATAATTATTTTTGCTCTATGAACTGAACCTCTGTTCAGTGCAGAATGGGCATCGATGCAAATAACAGTAAGTGATCTGGGATATAAGTGACATTATTTAAGACAATGCTTCATTTATTCAGTAAGGATTTTTTGTGTGCCAAAAGACTTGTTTTGGAAATTGTCTTCATGTAACACCACAAGGTGCAAAGCTATCTGAATTAAAATTATTTCAATCCATCTCTAATTTCTTTCACTAGATTTTTCAGTCTTGTAGCTGGTAATATTTCCTTTGTTATATCACTGTAAAATCAAATGGTGTTTGTGCTAGTTGTACTAAGACTGAATTCAACTAAACTGCTGTTCATATCTTGCATCAATGATTAAATTTAGCATACCCTATGATATAAATGTGTTTATATGTAAAAAGTTCATACCAGAGACAGGCAGGCTTACGATTATAACTAAATCTAGTTACAACTGAAAAAAACAACAGATATACTGTTTTAAATAATGCATACTACAATAATTTACTAGACTGATGATGTATTTTCACTAAAATCCATTTAAATGAATTTAAAATACTGTTGGAGTTCATTGCACCGATATTTTCATTGTATTACCATTGCACTTGACTTACATGTGTATGGAGAGCAACAGATGCCTGACCTGGATACTGTGCCATGGGATTCCTGTAGTTGAGGGTGTGACACAAACCCTGAGACTTCCTCTTGTCCAGGAGTTCAGGATATGTGACATCTGTGCCAATACTCACAGCCAGCAAATGATGAACAATAATATCTGTGATGTAGTAACAGTTGCATTTCAACAAAGTGGTCAGAAACTGAACTCAGGATCAGTAAAGCATAAGACACACTGCCATAAAGTTACTATTACTGACAGGACATAAACAAGGTTGAGTGGCAACTGATAATGGCATGATGTGCATATAAAATGTCATGAAAATCCATGATTCAAAAGCTATTACAGTAAAATGATGCACAAAGATAATGATACCATAAACCTTTCCTTATAAAGAAAGGAAAAGTGGTCTAAAACAGTTGTGTTAATAATAGTCTTACTCACTGATATATTGGGTTTTCGGACTTTATCCATCGTCCTGGTTTTTAAGATAACTAATAAAAACACGACGTTTCGGAAACTGGATCTGTTTCCGTCCTCAGGTGAAGGAAAACACCTATTCTGTTGGGTCCGTTAGAAAGAGCTAGCCTCAATCACCTGAGGATGGAAACAGATCCAGTTTCCGAAATGTCGTGTTTTTATTAGTTATCTTAAAAACCAGGACGATGGATAAAGTCCGAAAACCCAATATATCAGTGAGTAAGACTATTATTAACACAACTGTTTTAGANAGTCTTACTGTCTATGGATTGTTGCCAGGACTAGAGAGTTATGGGAAACATAGCCTAGCCCTGTATTTTTATTTGTTGTCACATGTTACTATCTTGGCACATCAAGTTTTGTGCCCTACTCATTCCATTTAATTTTGATCCTTGAGATTAATCATATATCAGAAATGTATAATGGGACACTGTAACTACAGATACTGAGAAAGAAAACAGCTTACAGCTTAAAACATATGTGTTAGAATGAGCTGAAATGCTGTGTTTAAAAGGTCAGAAAATAAATATGCCAACCACTGAATAGCCACATCAACAAATTATATTTATTTATATTAACTCATAAGGAAACAAAAATTATGAAAATCAGAACATATTGTGACATGTAAACCCATTGCTAGGTAATGACATGTTGAAACATGTCTCTGAGGTTAAGACAGAGACGATTCCTAGGCAACACATAGAGAAAAGTCTCTGTTATAACAGCTAGGTAAAGACTGTTCACACAGCAACGAAAGACACATTTTGATGACAACTGCACAAACAATGAAGTGAACTGTTGCACAGAGTGTTTCATATCCAGTTGGTGTAAAGCCAGCTTGGGTCACGAGAACTGACTAGAAGAAGAATGCAGAAGAGATTGTACACTAGAGAGTCCTACCTAGTAGTAGTAGGAGCCCAGTCCAAGAACAAGAGAGAAGAGAACAGACTGGGTACAGACCTGCTCACCGAATTCCTACAAGGAGCATCTAAGAGTGGAAGTGTTAAAGACTTTGTGTGTTATTATTCCAGTGACATTTCGAAGAGTTATAAGTATTTGTAGATCCATGTGGTGATTGTCCAATAAATCTATTCATCAATCAAGAGAACCCATTAATTACTTGTTGCATTACCAGTATACGTGACAATACGAAACAAGAATTTTGCCAGCTGTTTTATATGGGGTGTGAAAGTTGGTATCTTACTTTGAAGGAAGTGTTTGAAAATAAAATGTCCAAGAAAAAATTTAGTCCTAAGATTGTCAAGGAGAGCAATTTTGGATAGTACCTAATAAGGAACTCTCTGATATTATTCATGATCCAATACTGACAAGTGAATGAATTCTGGAAGAACAGTAAACTGGGTATGTGGCTTGAATCTGACAGAGAACCCTCTTAGAAAATGTCCATTTGGAAATTTGAAGTGATGGGAACATAATAATGGGATGTAGAGAGGATGGGAGAGGGCAGAACTGACTCAAGATTATATCTAATGGCAAACAGTTTTGCCTCAGAAGTGTAAATTAAATTCTAGAAAAAACTTATTTCATTTAATACCATCTCAATTATCACTCTGCTTTTAAGTACCAATTAATGAAAGTTGCCTGTACTGCCATTTTAGTCCCTGACAGCTAGATTTACTGAAAATAGAAACTCGTACCTTCTGATAGGTGAGGTGAAGTGCGTGTAGACTGGAGCAGCAAGACCATAGTGGAAAAATTCGTCCCTCTGCACCATTACACTTGCAAAATATACAGCTTGCATCATGCAGTGGGTTGCTAAAATACATAGCATAGTGTTGAAGTATACACTGTCTGGTCTCACAGCATTATCAAGGGAATTGCAAGAGCCTTTCCTGATTCGATATTGATTTCAAAACCCTAGATAATAAAAAACAGATATGAGATCAAACATTTTTCTGTTTTTCTAATCTGAATTTTTCTGACTGGTATGGAGATATGTGAATTACTTAACCATTCACTCAACCTGGGGAGGAAGATGGGGGTGGGTGGCTGACCAGTCAGCAGGGGACTTAAGAACCCCACAAACCATATCTTAAAGCATGATTATTTAAGCTGATTTCAGCAGGAAGGTGTGCATGGGACCTGTGTAAATATGGTAACTGTTTATATTCTTTTAATATAAAATTGTAAATGGTCTCTGTAAATGAATGAACAAGCAAGTGAATTTACTACCCCATAAAACATTTCACATATTGTCTACAGTTACTGTTCATTCAGTCAGTGTGATATCTGCATTAATGTCATGAAATTTATTTTGGGGGGGGGGTTAAAGTCATACCATAGAAGTCGAGTTTGAACTTCATTATAATTGTAATGTTTCTGCTATGTGTCCAGTTCATGAATTTAACATTGGGATGTTTCTCTGGTTTGTTGCTTTATGTTATAGGCATTCAATTATGCATTCATGGAAAGGAAAAAATATTGTATGTCAGAGATAACGTTCTAAATATGACAAGGAACGTAACAGATCCAGCATCAGAGGACGCGAAAGAGCAACGAGACCTTCAAAAAGTGAAAGTGCAACCAATATGATAAGTTGAACTTTAATTCATGAACTTTTTAACCAGTGGTAATAATATAACTAGTTAAAGTGAACTATACACAGAGAAAACAAAGTGAATGTGAAAGTATAACCAGTGATCGAAATTGAACTTCAACTCACGAAAAAAAATTTTAAATTTTTTAATTTTAAATTTTAACTTTTAACATTCGAATAGTATTTTAACTTGTATTTTATAAGAAGAACTTGACATATATCATTGAACGTAGGCCTGAACAGGATACAGGATCGAAATAAGTGGAAAACGAATGTGATTGCGTGTGATTGTGCAACTGTGTTCGTACACCTGAGGATGACCTCTTGAGGTCGAAACATGTAGTGTGCAATAATAAAAACATGTTGTGTGGTCGGTGAAATTAACCCTAATATTGATTAAATACACAATAGGATGCAAGAAACAATTAAAGTTGTTTACATTATTATTTACCAACTGAAGAGTTCATCCCAGAGTAAAACAGATGTTTTGGAAACAGGCTACTCAAATGATAAGACAGAAGTGAAACATCCTGACCTCAACAAACCTTTAACCATGAACAGAAATTAAAATTAGAGAAACAAAGATCCTCTGCAACAGTCTTACTCTCATCCAACAAGTTTCAGCCATAATATGAACTTCTGTCAACTCTTTACAATGTCTAACACAGTAGATCACAATAATATTGGCTGCCATGCGTCATGCTTACCACACTAAGATATAGAATGTTAAATGTTCTGAGTGTGTCAAGATAGAGTGCATTAAAATGACAGTTAACTGCAACTATGTTACTAATACCATACAAATTCCCTGATTAATCTTGCAGTGAATGGTTGCAGTATACACAGATAGAGGCTGGTAACATACCAAATTCCTTCCTGCCTTAATGAAAGGCTCAAAATTTGATACTGGAAGCTTTGGATGACGCCGTAGCATGGCACACTCTGGGAAGTCCTCCAGTATTTTAATGGCCACATATATGTTGGCCAATAACATAAATTCTTCTACCATTGAATTGGTTTCATGCAACTTCTTTGCTTCCACTTAAATTGGATCCTGCTTTCACTGTCAACTTGGAAATGGATTTCTGGCAAAGCCAACACCAAAGCTCTGTAAAATAAATTAATAACATTATGAAGTCATAAAACTGAACTGAATTCAAGGAAAATCCTTTATGAACATTCATTTTCCAACATCAGTGAGTGGAAATAAACAAAATACAATACTCAGCAATAGTAACACATTTTAAAATTTAAATACCCCAATTCCCAGATATATCATGGTACTCTTCCACAAGCACTATACTAAACGAAACAAAGCTTCCAGCTCTCACTTATTTATGAATAACAGATTTTATCCTATTTTGAACTACAGAAGTGTGTCTGGCAATGTTTCTTACAGTGACATCTCACAAAACAAAAATCTTCACACAATGCAACTGAACATAAGTAAACATAACCAACACCACTGGTCTGTGAACTATTATTGACTTCTTTAACTAAAACACCAGACAATACATCACTGTAAATATCTGTAACAATTTTGTCTCTGTCTCTTTTGTGTCATGTACAAATAAGGCAGATCAAGAACTGTTATAAATATAGGCATCACTTTGGAGCGGCCAAAGTGAATGGGCGTTTTAAGTTCAGTCTGCACACCATACTAAACAAAGTTGATTTTCTACACAGTTAAGCATTTGTCCACTAACCTTTCCTGCATAAAATGATACAAATATAAATGGTATAATAAACCAATGAATGAATTATTTGTGGGATACGAGAACACACTTTTTTATATACGGGTAAGGGCTGTCACTGTTGCTCATGTGACAAACAGGATAAGCGTTGAGGCCACATGTACAGCTTAGTACAACCTGGGCTATATGTATGACTACACCAGTCCATAAAACATCATTTTTTATTTTCAACTCTTCTATGAGCAACACATTAATCTGTTATGCCAATGTTTTAGTATTCTAAAGTATTTTGGTTGACAGTCTGTGCTTCTCACTGTAAGTTGCCCTTTTACTCATTTATCATCATGCATCTATAACAAAATGTATGTACATAAACAACCATTCTACACTAACATTATCAAGCTGTCTTGCTGATGAATAAGGACATTGATCAGGAGATTACATACTACTACAGCAGGATTTGAAATTGCACCTGAAAATGACACATTCCTGTGAAATGCATACTGGAGGTTCACATTTCAGTAAGTGAACTGTTCGCTAATTGTAGATATGCAGTACTACCAAAGACATCCATTCTTCACATAGATTTTCTTAAAAATAAACTGTTCTGGAATACTGAAACTATTTGTCCTCCTTTACACTATAGAAACTGGTCAAGGCAACTACACCAGATACAGAGAACAAAAGACTGGGTGAAATGATATTACATATAATATAACATTATGCCAAAGATATTATAAAATATTTTCTTTGTAATGTCAATGCCCTTTAAATATTGACCAATAAAGCATGACATAATTAATACAAGCCCTACTTAATTTTGAGATTAGTAACATTGATGCTTATATGCAAATTAAATATGAAAAAATTCATCGAATTGTTTACACTCATCTATCAAATAGTTAAATAGTGTCATGTTTTGTTCTGAGGCAGACACTGTGTAATTACATACCCATTTTCAATTCTCCTCTTCTTTAAGATATTTGCAAGAGAATTCAGTCCTCTGATCGATTTTGATAAAGTGTCATTCTGTGTTAAATCATCTATCTTCATTTGGGCTTCCTCCTATGTCAAGGCCTGTTGTGACTGAATGATGCTCTTTCACAAACGTGTACTAACAATTTCAGTTTCATGGGTCAATTCCCAAATACAGGAGAAAGCAAATCTCTCTTCATTTCCACGCAAAGAGCACAGATTTGAACTCAGCAACTCTAAAAATAAAAAGTAGCATATTTATTTATAGCGGCTCGTTATAGTGCCTACTTGTATGCTTCCAATTATGCAGAATCTTATGAGGAAATAAGAATTATTAAATTACAAGTAAGTTACTTTGCAGCACTGTAACAAGAGGTAAGAATGTAGAGCTGAGCGCCCTCCATAGTCTAGGGGTAACGTTCCCACCTCGTGACTCAAGGTATGCGGATTCAAACCCGGCGGAGGTCGTGGAATTTTTAAGGGCAGACAAATTCAGGGATCAAGTCCTCCGGGAGGGACTTTAAGCCGTGGGTCCCGTGTCGTAGCTTTACAGCATGTAAAAGAACCTCATGTCCCAAGGGGATCTCTGAGCCAAATTCAGGACATTTCCCGCCCAACAGTAGTCTCTAACGCCTCTGGTAGATGGGGGAAGCATCGAGATACCGCTGAGCCACTAGAGGCCGAACTCGCTGGCTGAGGCCGGACTGATGGCATGCACCAACACCGGTAGGGTATAGAGACTGGTAGAATATCATAGGGGGACGCACAATGGACCAATATCTGGTCTAAGTGCATGGGGAAACCCACCCTCTCCAATAACAACAACAAGAAGGTAAAGCTATCCCTGTAACAGGCCGTGAGGCCCATTGGGTTGTGAGACGTTGAAGCTATGACATTTTCTAGACAATTGGCTCACAGATGGCGGTAAGGTTGTCAGCCTTACATGCAGGCCGCCCTTTACCCCCGGGATGATTCCTGGTACTCATTTCTGTTAGAGGCTGAGTCGACCCAAGGGCCACAGTGCTGCTGGAAAGAGTAGGTCAGTTGAAAAATTCAACAACCTCATCAGGAATTCAACCCATGACCCTCCAGCTTGTAGCACAGTGCCTCAATCAACTATTAGGAGCTCCAGGTAGAACTCATAAAGCCTACTATTCTATTACATACTTCCAGTCCTCCAAATCTTGTATTCTTAGTGTCCTATTTAGGTAATTTAAATTTATAATATAATAATAAGATTCAATTTAGCTCACAGGCTAACCTGCTGGACTAGCGGCCTCTGTAGTCTAGAGGTAACGTTCCCACCTCATGACTCGTAGTATGTGGGTTCAAACCCGGCGGAGGTCGTGGAATTTTTAAGGGCGGAAAAATTCAGGGAACAAGTCCTCCGGGAGGGACTTTAAGCCGTGGGTCCCGTGTCGTAGCTTTACGACATGTAAAAGAACCTCATATATCCTAAGGAGGTCACTGAGCAAAATTCAAGGACATTTCCCGCCCAACAGTAGTCTCTAACGCCTCTGATAGATGGGGGAAGCATTATAGATACCGCCAAGCCAGTAGAGGCCGAACTCGCTGGCTTGGTCGGGACTGATGGTAAGCACCAGTATCGGTAGGGTATAGAGACTGGTAGAATATCATAGAGGGAAGCACAATGGACCAATACTGGTCTAAGTACATGGGGAAACCCACCCTCTTCAATAACTAACTAACTAACTAACTAACTAACCTGCTGGACTTCTGCAAAGATTGTCATAAGTTTGAATCGTGGCAGAGTCAAATTCTTTTGGCTGTGATTATAAATCAGATTATCATCATTGTCATCGTTGTTGTTCTTTGTAAGATTTACTGACCTGGTACCATGTCAATCTTCTTGTCCACCAAATATACAGTTGTTGCTCTGAGTGTGGCCTCTTTGTCTATTGCTGTGCCAGGCCTAATGAAGTGACTCACATCAGCAATATGGACGCCCACCTGTTCAAAAACAGTTGTCACAAGATAAACATATAGCGAGTATCAGCAGAATACCCACCTGATACAATTGATGCCCAGTTTATGATTGTCAAACAATTTAGTCAACTGGCATTAGGACATATCTCCATGGTTTACAATCTTTCCTGACAATCTGACGGTCACACAGGACTGGTCACAAAATTCCCTGACTTTTAAAACACCCAAAGATTCATTATTGTGTTCACAAAGCCCACCACTATCATCCTATCCAATGGATATCTGGGGCTCTATCCCTGGGGATACAACAGTCAGGACATGAAGATGACCACTCCCCTCCATCTCCATCTAGTGTTGAGATTAAGAATGTTTGGAGCAATACCTCCACTCCTTCAGATGTCTGAATGCCATGTTATTTAATTAAGCACAGGAACAACCTTACCATATAGTTTTTCTTTCATTCACATGTACGTATACAAATTTTAACTACTAATCAGGTGTATATATAATGTTAAAATAATGTCTCTAACATGTCTACAGGAACAAATCTCTTTCAAATCACAAAATAACAAAAGGTGTGGATAAAATAACTGGTACTAATTGAAGCAAATGAAATTCTCAAAGCATCTTAGGTTCCCGATAACACTATTAAACACAAAGAGACAGAGAAAGTGAGCATTCCTTATTATGGGCACAGAGAAGCAATTCGCTATTTCTAAGGGGAAACCAGTGACTAAGTAACAGGGCTCAAGGCAGTAAAGAACACATTCTTAACCTCAGCATTAGAAGCAATGATTCATGCTTAAGTTGCTTTATCCTTAGGAAACTACCTTTACAGGATGCCATTTATTATGAAGAATGTGGTAGTGAGCATAAAAATTTACCTCTGCTAGCAACTGATCACCATCATCCAATCCATAGTCACCTTTTTAGTAACAGAACTGTTATAGCTTTGTCTGAGGAGCATGAATATTGACATATTCAGTGATTTATGTATTTTAAATAAGCTAACAAAACATTACTTTATATATAGTCACTAATTCACACAGCTGAGTCCACCTAGACAAGACAGCAGTTGTCAGCTAATCAAGAAATACCCTGTCTGCCAGAGAGCCTGAAGAATCATTAATATATTCATAAGAGTCATCATCAGCCCATATTTCCACCCTCAGATTTCCTCAGTACTTTGTTTTCAAACGATTTCGATTTCTGTCCTTTCCTTCAAATGCAGTCCAACTTTCACACCCAAACACAACACTCCATAAAATTAGTTTTTCATTTTTGGATGAACATTTTCCGCCTCAATTTTACGGAATGTATTTTGATTAATTCCTAATTTGTTTGCAAGAAGTTGATATAGGACTTTGCCTCATGGTAAGCCAGATAGCTCAGTTGGCATAGCGACTGAGCTGCAGGCTTGACGACCGAGGAACTGGGGTTCACGTCCTGGTAGGTGCAAGAAAGTTTTCTCTTCTCCATAACATCTAGACCGGCTCTGAAAACCACGCAGCCCCCAATACAATGGGTAGCGGAGACAGTTTATCCTCACGCAAAGCGGCCGAGGAGTGAAGGCAACAACTAGCATCCAGTGCCCATACGTCTTCAGGGCATAGCGTTTAATTAATTACTGCAACATTACCTTTGCATTCTTACCTTGTCAGTCTTAGCTTACCTTTCCATGGAAATTCCTTCTACTTGAGTAATGTGCTCAATAGATGTCGTGCTTGTTCCTCCCAAATCGCTTGGGCCGTCAGATCGTAGCCCCATTTCGGGCCTTCGTAGAATTGTGTGTATATTCGTGTCCCCTTCTCCCCCCCCCCCCCTTTCTCGGAATATCTGTTATTTTTCCTCCAACTCCAGGTACTCGGCAGTACCGAGAGAAAACGGCATCTTAAAATTTTGGGTTTTTCGAGTTTTTGTGTGAGATTAAGTATACAGTTATAAGACTTCTGTGTAACAGTTTTGAAAATACTGAATTTTGATAATAATCGTAAAAAAAAATTATTTGAATTTAACCGTAAAAATTAATTACATTCATCACATATGTAAGATTTGAGGCTTTCACGGCGGTGACTATGAAGAAAGCAGTCTTCTGGGATTNACTCTCTTCATATTCAGTTCGACGGTTCCCCACCTTCTTCTTTTCATATACAGAAGCTCTTTGCACCAGCACTAAAATTACATCATTTTCTGCTGCTGTAATACCGGATTTGAAACTACTGATAATTCAGCATGTTCAGCATTCACACATGGCTTCTGCCGTATTCATGTTACAGATATATCACTTGAAATAAACACACACACAGACGAAAAGGAAGAAACATATATGTGGCATTATTTTTCTAATCATTCTGCACATCTAAAATTATGTTGAATCAAATTCAAGTTTAATAAAATAAATAGCATTAACACTAGTCATAGGAAAGCGCAGGTATCCCTGTAACAGGCCGTGAAGGCCCATAGGGTTGTGAGATGTTGAGGGTCCCACATTTTCTAGACAATCGGCTCATAGATGGCGGCAAGGTTGTCAGCCCTACGCGCCGGCCGCCCTTTACCCCCAAGAATATTCAAAGAATATTCCTGGTACTCTTATGTTAGAGGCTGAGTCGACCCCAGGGGTTTAGTGCGACTGGAAGGATTAGGTCAATTGAAAAAAAATCCAATGACTTCATCGGGATTCGATTCCGTGACCTTCCGGCTTGTAGCATAGTGCCTCAGCCAACTACCGTACCGGGTGCCCCTTGTTTGTAGTTAATGTCTGCATGTCTACATACTAGTCATTAAAAGTAAGCTCGAGGTAAGTGGTCACCTTCACTCCCCAGCCGCTTTACCCCTGGGAAAAGAGCCCCCGGGTACCCATTGGATAGGAGGATCGGTGGACCCTATCAGTAGGTAAAGGACAAAGCGGCCAGGTCGTGTGGCTGCCCACTCACTTCCATCTATTGCAGAGGTGGAATTCGTGGAATTTTGCTCCACAGTACATAAACATTTTCAGCCACATGGAGAACTTTGTTGTTATATATTGCCTTTATTGAATGAACATCAATTTAGGTGACGAAACCTGCATATTCGTAAGTACAATACAATCACTTCAAAATGGAATACACTTTTATATTCTTGTTCTATGTGTAAATAGTTACGCAATCCAACACATACTGTAAGTGATCATTCCATGATGGTTTAAAAGTCAGTGTATCTGTGTACCGATCGATTGATCTGCCATGTTTTATTGCCTGAAAATACATGGGTTGCCCACTGGAAATAATTTTAAGCTTCATCTCACATTTTAAGTTACGTTATTATGCATAGTCTCCATCCTCAAGGAACTAAACCCCAGTAAAGTTCTATGATTGCTCCATCGCTCATGCTGGTGACAACAAGAAGCCTCCTAGCAACAACTGTAAAAAGTAAAAGTAAAGTAAAGCTATCCCTGTAACAGGCCGTGGAGGCCCATAGGGTTGTGAGACATTGAGGGTCCCACATTATGTAGGCAATCGGCTCATAGATGGCGCTAGCAACAGCAGTCCATCATGTAATTGTAGTCCGAGCACAGAGGTTCTGGGCTCAGTGGGCACTGCAGGTGGCCTGGGCAGCTTATAGGCACACGGTCTGCAAACACAAATACAAGAATTCAAACGGTCAGACACTGTCTTCATATTTCGAGGTTTCGGAGACTGCAGATTGAATGTATGCCTGATTTCTTTCACTGGAGGATAAAGGCTGTCGTAGCGTAAGGCTGGTCACTCGATTGCGTTTAGTTCCATTTACTTCCACAATAACTTGACAGTATTTAGAGGCCACTGTACCAGAAGTGCTCTTGCCTACATTAAGTGTACAAGAAGTTGCAAGAGCACCGAAATCACTGTTCTACCGATACGAGAACTGTCATGGCGATCATATTGCAACATGCCTTCGGGCCACGATCTTAGGCACAGCTATAACTTTGCCTTTCGTCTTCTGTAATGTGATGTTTCGGAGGAAAGTACTGCCTCCACGAGACTACACAAAGTCACATCCCAGGAGATAGCACACTTCATAGCCAACGCCGTCAGAACCTCAAATCTCAGAAATAAAATAAATTGTAATATTCAACCATGGCTGTTAGATTCCACTCTTGACCATATTTACAGATAAATGACGTGGCTCAATTATCCTGAGAAGTGATTAGTCGCAGGTCGTTTATGTGTTTGTTCCATTTGTCGTTTACCTTATGGAGTTCAGTGATCGGACCCAATAGGCCTCTCGGGTGCCCCAATATCTAAAATAGCTTATACATCAAAACATCTTATAGCATATTTCGGAGGGATGATTCAGTTGTGTTACAGTTTAAGAGAGGCACTGCACAGTATTCCATGTATTTATTACGTACATTTCTTCCAAATCACAAATCACAATTGCATGTTAAATATGTATGTGCACTCTGTTGCACTGCTACAGACCACCACCGAGCACGCTGGTTCAGACAGTAACGCTCCTTCATTTTATTCGGGAGGAGACCGGCTCGAGTCTCGGTCGGAACTTCGACTATCCTGACTCAGGCATATCATGGACTTCCTCAGTCCCTCCAAGAAAATGGTGGTAAATTACCTTAAGTAAGGCTATACCTGCTTCCATTCACGTTCTTTCCAATTCATTATTCACTGCCATCAGAACAAGTCAACACTACAGTCTGAGTTACTGACAAGGTCGGTAAACAAACTACAAGCGATCATGACTTGAAATAAATGACTGTATCATTAGTGTCTATGACTTTTATCTGAAATACACATTGTAATATTTTTGCTTTAACTTTATCAGCAACAAATTTACATCTGAAACAAATGAAAATCAGAATGACTGGGGTGTGAATTGTTGCCAGTAAAGCATTAGGAAACTTTGTTTATTCCAACTTGTTCCACTCGTGAACCCTATGATGATTTTCCACAATGCCATTTAAGTTTCACGTTTACGAAGAATCAGTTAACTGTCTCAGTGTAGGATAATCTTACTTTAAAATGTGATACTTCAAGAAATTATCTGCTTTTACGGAACCCAGTCCTTCACTAAGACCACAGAATCATGCAACTGGACTCTATTCTGAGCCATGTGAATTCAATTCATACCCTTACAACCTATTTCTTTAATAATCATTTTAGTGCTAACGTTACCGGACATGTTGGTGTACAAGAGCACTGGCTATCCTGACAGAATTGTCGTGTTTTCCTCAGTCCCAGCCACATTCTCAGATATTACTGTGACCGCTTCCTTCCATATCCTTTCCAATTCATTACTCAACAATCCTCATATCATTCTGCGCCATATAGTCTGAAATACTGAGAACGTCGTAAAACAAGCGGCAACATTTGTCGTTGCACGTACGTGTTTTCCCGTTAAAACATTAATTTTCCAGCGTTGCTACATATGCCACCCACCGTGCCCTCCTTGATTTGACCACCTTAATAATATGTTATGAAGAGCACAAATTACGAAGCTCCTCGTTGTTTAACTATCGTCTTCCTCTTATTTTTCTCTCTCTTAGTCCAAAATATTATCATCAGCACCCTGATCCCAGACACTCTCAATTTATGTTCTTCCCTTAGACTGACAAAGTTTCGCGCTCAAATAAACGATCAGGTAAAATTAATCCATGAAATGTATACAGTTGCCGTCTTGTAGTGCACTCAATTTCACCTGTTACTTCACTCGCAGCTAAGAAGGGAACATACATCACAAGACATGGTTTACAAAGAAAATAAGAAAAACGACCCCATAGCGAATGAACCACATGCAAGTTTTAATTAAGACATTTAAGATGAATAATCTTAACAAGTTTTAGTGAGTGTAAATTTATTATAGTTCACAAATACGCACTTTTTAAATACGTTTTAAATGGTGTTGTGAAGACATATGAGGGCAAGCAATGCAATAGATTTAATTAGGGCACCTGATGATGGCACTGTGTTGCCGAAACATGTCGTGAAGTAACAGGTGAAATTGAGTGCACTTCAAGACGGCCACTGTATACATATCATGGATGAAAATCAGTGCAACAGGACGCTAAAATACAACAAGGTAAAATTAAACTAGTACGTTCGTATTTTCTGACCTTCGGGTTTACGGATAAGGTACGGGAAGATAAAGTAACAAGCCCCGAACCTGGCCACGAATATAACTACGAGTAGTTACGTACCTGAGTACCTGCCACAGCCGCAGCAGTAGCCAAGGATGACAGCTTCATCCCTGCTGCAGTGATGCGGGGGACAGTCGCCAGGGCCCCCACAATGAGATCCCGCAAAACCCCATCCAAACAAGACTGAAATCACACTCTTTATGAGTTATGCTGAAAATTACAGAACACCACTGATTGGGCCACACTGGGTCATGTGGATTTGTGAATTATCTTAGAGCCACATTTAAAGTCAACCCTTTCACTAATCCTATGTTATAGGGCCCGACTTATGGAGTTCAGTTTTTTAGACGATAAAAGAATCTTTATGTTCATGAAACCCAATGGATCGTCTTTGCCAGTGGAGCCTATGCTAAGCCAGTTCAATTCAGTTCACTTCGTCACAAACTAGTTCTTGCATATTCATTCTAATGTTGCTGTGTGAGCTATGCTAAGGATCTCAAACGGTCTCTCCCCATGAAATTTTATTTTCAGTACATTTTTCATTACCCCGCGTATGCTACATCTTACATCATGATTTTAACATAGTTTTTATTTTTTAGTTTCTTGGGGTTGAGTGAGACTGTTCACTTGGTACTGCGGCCACTAACTGTCCTATTGTACCAGCCCCAGATGATAGGTGATGAGTGTGGAGCAGTCGGTGGAATGAAAATTAGCAGGGAAACCGAAGTACTCGGAGAAACCTGACCAGTGCCACTTTGTCCACAACAAATCCCACATGACCTGACCTGGGCTCGAAGCCGGTGACTAAACGTGTGAGCTATGGCACGGCCTCATTTTAACATAACTACTCTGTTCCTCTTGTCATTCAGTTGAGAAGCTTTTGTTTTCCAGCCTGTAATTTAGAAAACGTGTTTTCTTTTATGGGTGCGAAACTTGGTCTCTTTCCTTGGGGTTAGCGCATGTATTGAGGGTGCATGAGAACACGGTGCTGAAGTAAAAGTAAAGTAAAGGTATCCCTGTAACAGGCCGTGGAGGCCCAAAGAGTTATGAGATGTTGAGCTTCCCACATTTTCCAGACAATCGGCTCATAGTTGGCGGTGATGTTGTCAGCCCTTTACCCCCAAGAATATTTCAAGAATATTCCTGGTACTCATTTCTGTTAGAGGCTGAGTCTACCCCAGGGCCATAGTGCGGCTGGAAGGATTAGATCAATTGAAAAAAAAAAATCCAGTGACCTCATCGGGACTTGAACCCGCTACCTTCCGGCTTGTAGCACAGTGCCTCAACCAACTATGCTACTGCGTGACCCCACGGTGCTGAAGATAAAGAAATTATGGTGAAAACTTCACAAGGAGAAGCTTCGTAATTTGTACTCTTCATCGAGTGTCATTAGAACGATCAAATGAAAGAGATTGCACGTTGACAGGCGGGGCATATAGAATGCATGGGAAAGACGCCAGTGATCGGAAAATCTGAAGGGAAGAGACGACTTTTGAAAACCTAGGCTCAGACATAATGATGTTAAAATGGCTCTTAAAGAATTATAGTGTAAGAACATGGATTTGGTTTATCTGGCTCAGTTTGCAAACACGATACTAAAGCAACGGGTTGCATAAGGTGAGGGTAATTTCTTGGGCAGCTGAACGGCTTCTAGTCTCTCAGTAATGACCCTAGTGCATGGAATAAACTAGGATTATCTTCCTGAGCCTGTAGCCCACTCGGCTTTATGGAGAGATTGTAAGGTTTACGGGCTGGTTGCCATTATCACCAAGTCACGAAGTTGGCTCTGTTTTCTCACACTGAGCTGTAACGTACTACACTATAGACTACGCTACCGGTTGGGACAAGAATTTTAAACTTTCCTTTGTTAATAACTTGGAAATACAGCTGGGATAATGCAGTCAGTATAGCGACTGGCTACGGGCTGGACAGCCTGAAGGTCGGAGTTCCATTCCCTGTAAGTGCAAGATTTTTCACCTCTCGATGTCGTCCAGACCGGTTCTAGGGCCCATCCAGCCTTCTATCCAATGGGAACCGGGGCTCTTTCTCCGGCCGGGGCGTCAAGCTGACCGTTCACGTCGAACTAGTTCAGAGGTCAAGAATACGTGGATCTGTACATCAACTCCCCTATACATCTTCAAGGCCTACTGCTTAATTAGTTAAGCACATGGGCAATTTTATATTCTCTTTAATAATATGGAAATTATTTCAGTTATTGGTTACTTCCTTCACGTAACATCTCTCCTTTTTCCCAATACACTCTCGCCTAACCAGACTGATATGCTTTAGATTATTGCAAAGAGTTACGTTTACTGCAGGAAGGCGAAGAGTGTGTTGCTAGCAATGATCGCTGGTACGTCAAGTGCTTAGGAGCACAGCATGGCACATTTTAAATTAAATAACGTAAGAATTCGGATAAAAATAAAGTCGAATTTCGCGTGTTAGTGATGAAGCTACGGAGCTGCCGTTTGTATCGGAGATATTGTCTCTGCAGTAAATTATATGAGAAAGTTACGTACTTCCATTTCTTCCACCAAGAGCAGATCTACCTCTTTGGGCTGGCAATATGCTCCGAGAGGCCTGTTCCAAAGCATGAGCTGCATATGCGAATAAATTGTGTAATGTACGCCCATGCTCTGTCTAAGAGATCTTTTGGGGTACCTCACACGTTGAGTAGGTAACCTTATGGTAGAAGACTCCTGTGTGTCCAACAGTATCTCTGGTGTGGTGATTTTGGTTTCCATCCTGTTCTCATAAAAGAAATGCGCATTTCTGAAAGACGGGTAGACGACAGGAGCACAGCAGTAACCGGCATTACCCGAACCACTCTTTAATCCCTTACCTCGAAATGAATGTTTTGAGCTCAGTAAAAC